AGTAGTTAAATCCATAATGAAAACAGCAGCACAGGCAGCGCAGTTCTTGGTCCAACTGAAGTTTATTCTGAACACCGAAAGACAACAACGTACATCATCTTCTACAGTGATAATTAACAGCAGGCTGCCTTTATCGCTCATATATTAACTCTCAGATAACAGCAGTATTATACACAACCTGGAAGGTAGACAGTAAGGTTCAAACTGGATTGGGTTAGTTTCAGTACAGTGAGGAGAGGAGGAGGCGAGGGGGGGTACTGAGCAGGACAGTACAGAGGGGTGTAAGACAGCTTCATCATCATCATCATCATCATCAGCTTCAGTCTGGGGAAACACAAACATTCGTTCACACCTTCCTCCATAGTCAAGCTGCTGAAGCTGGCCGAGCCTCGCCGACTTCTGATTGGACAGTGGCTGGTCACTAAGGTAACTGTTGTCTTCGTGGTAATTTAGAACATTACTGTAACTTGGCACTAAATTAAAACACCTAACTAGATTTACTAACCGAGCCGAGTGGCTCGCTAACTAACTTATCTACAATCTTACTAAGCAACCTAGCCAGGCGATGTTTGCGGCCTCGTCGGCGAACGCAGCCGCCGTTTTGAATAATCAGCTCGAGGAAACTTTAGGAGGAAGATCAGAGAAGTATTCGTTTTCAAAATGTGCTTGAAATTGAAACATTGGGACAGTTTTTGAAAGAAGATATCGTTTGGACAATAATAAGTCCACAAATTACAGCGTCACAGTTATTGCCTTTACTTTAAATATAAAGTTCTTATGCTGAACAAAAATGGTAGCAGTCAGCGCAGATCACTCTTTTCTTTTTAAATTCTCTTCATTTAAGAAGAAAATCCAACGACTGCATCTAAAAATCGCTCCTGACTTTCTTTTATTTTCTGGGATCCACCTTTGAGCTCAAGTATAGTTTGCTTACCTTCGTTAAAATGTCTTTAAAATGACAAGACTTGAATAAAAACACATCCTTTGAGTGCCTCTTTTTATTAGACTTCCTGCTCTGATTACTCAAAACAGCTGCTGGGTGAAATCCAGGAGATTCGCGTCCTGCTCTGCTCCAAAATCTGCTTTTCAAAGTGCTGGGAGTGCCGACGCACAGTACCGTTGTTTCGACTCTGAGCTTTTCGTAGGGTTAAACTGTGAAAATGGTCAAAATGCTATTCCTAGAAAATACATCTGTGCCCTACGGAGCCTGCTCGAGGGCCCCGGTCCAGCGGCGGGCCCTCGAAATCCCTCAGGGTTTCCCCTCCCTGCATAGTGACGGCCACTGTGACAGCTCAACACAGCAGCAACGTATCAGAGTTCAGATGTGTGACAGAAATCGTCTAAATCTGCGCCCCCCCCCACATATACATAAAAACAAAACAAAACAAAAACACCCTGAACAGTTAAGACATTCCTCTTTACAGTAGCTCAGTTTAAATCAGCTTTCACGCCTGTTCCCTGTCTTATTATCAGCATTATTACCACACACGCATGTGAAGGGGACATCTGGTCTGTGATGTATTTACACCACTCATATATCAGGGTCTCTATATCAGCTTATTTTGCATCGTTAGGATTTCTCATTAAACCTGTACATATTTAGCACTTTCTGAGATAACGTGGCGAGCGTTCGGTGAGCGTCCAAACTGAGCGAAATTATAAAAACATGTCCCCTCACGTGAGCCGAAGCCCAACGAGTTGATCGTGAGACTCTGAGAGACTCTGTGTAAAAAACGCATGGAGACTAAACCGTGCTTTTAGTTAGCCTGTCCACCTTTACACTCGTACCGTCGTTCGCATCGGCCGTCTGCCTCACACACACGCGCGCGCTCTCACAGACACACAAACGCACACTCTCACATAAAGGTCTGGGTTTGGTTGGACAAAGAAGGAGGGCTGGGATTGTCGCTGGAGTGTTTGTGAGACTGTCTGGATGAAGCAGAGGGAGAGGAGACAGGAAAGACCTGACTGATCTTCTCCAAGACTCGACTAAATGCTGACGTGGACCGGTCCCGAAGGAGGGAGGGGGCACAAGCAGACTGGACTGGACTGGACCGGGTCTCGGATTTTCACTTCTCAGTGGTACCAACATGATGGAGAACCATTTGCAGACTAGAAAACCCGTCGAGCTGCTTCTTTAAATGTCAGATCACAGCACAGACCTGCTGAAACGGTCCAATCTCTAACCACAGAAGCACCGGATTTAAGACGTGAACGTGTATGTGACATTTAAAAAAATCCACACAAATTTAATTTAGATGAATAAAATCTATAAATCTCAGAAAAACAACATGTATTTGGATGTTGAGCTCTTTATTTACCCTCTCCACTGAAATGAATAAACCAGAAATGATAAGAATCTCAACGTTTTATAATCCTACTCCACTTCATCTCTATTTTTATATCAGTGTGTCACATATTTGGTGTGATTGCTGCAAAGCAAAAATCCCAGCATACTGTATGTTATTATTAGTGGCTAAAAATGCATTAATATTTGTATTATTCACATATATTAATGCAATCTCAGGCATAATGTTCATCTCGACTGAGGGGGGAAGTTCTTCTAAAAACCCTCTCTGTAATCTAACACCGAGCCCACTAGAGCCTATAGTGGGCTTATAGAGACTATAAGCAGAACATGGGATCATGTGTCTGCTCTATCTTTTAACTATGGAGGCCTCAGACTCACAGGAGCTCCGCCTGCTGCACAAACGCTGTGGAGAGTCTCCACCCACGGTGTGTAAGCAGGTCGATAGGAGGCACCGACTGGAGGCGGTGAGGATTGCCATGGTGACCCCAACTGCTGCTTATCTTTAATGTTCAGGAGCTGAAATGGAGCTACACACATTTTCAGCCACTTTGGCTTTTGTGTGTATGTGAAGGTCCTTTCTCCAGCTGGTAATTCATGAAGTTATTCCTTTTTGTTTTAAACTTGAAGATGTTTAGTAATGGCGTCGTTTTACCCTTAGCTAACTGATGCTTTCTCTCTGGGTATAAAAAGCTCAGATGTACACGCGGAGAAATAAAGATTTGAGACCAGTCCAGCTGTCCAGTCCAGTCTAATCCATCTAAGCTGTCCAGTCCAAACCATCATCTCCTACAGGTCCTTTTAGGGCCAGTCCAGTCCGCCGTGGCCCCGTCCAGGTTTCACGGTTCTTCAAACAGCTGAAGGTCGAGCCTAACGACGATCTCTCCCGTAGGAACCTCGTGGAGCAGCAGCCTCTTTGTGATTGGTCCTTTAGAGCCCTGGTCCTTCTTTATTTCCGCTAACCGGATTTCTGTCCTGCCCAAGAAGTCTGGGAAAGAGGA